CCCGGGACTGCAATGTGTGACGGCAGGGCCCTGGCAGGGAGCCGGACAGGGCTGCGGGTGGCTTGTCTGGGGGGCAGGGGCCAGCTCCCTACCCACTGCTGTGCGCACTCCTGGGGACAGAAGGGACCTGTGCCCCCAGATCTGTGTGTGGGGCGGAGGTGAGGCAGGCTGCCCAATGCAGGCTTGCGGAGGAGGGGGGCACCTCCCTGCCACTGTGCATACTCCCGGAGGGGCAGGAGGAACCCTTGCTCCCCAGAAATGTGTGTGGGGCGGGGGCTATGTCCTGCCCACTTCAAGCTCATGCTCCCTGCCCTGCTGCCCTCCCCCAGGGCATGTGCAACCTGGCGTGCGCGACCCGGTGCTGCAGGAAACAGCAAAGTCATGCAAGAAGCTGCCTGCTGTTGCGAGCGCCGCACTGCTCGCATCCCCATGCTACCACCCCAGTTGCAACTGTGCAGGCAGGTACACCCCACCAGGACAGTGCAGAGCTTGCAGCAGCAGGCAGCTGCTTGCATGGCTCCGCTGTTCTTTGTAGGGCCAGGCTGCACATGCCAGGCTGCAGAGCAGCAAGGCAGGAGCCTGCAGCAGGCAGTGCACAGCCCCCTACCCCACGCAAAGATGTGGGGGGCTCCGTTCTACTGCAGCAGCCTCTGCATCCTGCTAGGGTCAGGGGGCTGTGGACCTGGGTCCCTGACCCTGTAGCCCTGACAGCTGGGAGCCTCCTCCAGCAGGGCTTTGGAGCAGAAGCTGTGGGCAGGGAGTGAGGGGCAGAAGCAGGGAAAACCAGGATCCCATCTCATCTACCATATCTTAGGCAAGGACAGAAGCAAGAGTCCCCTGTGGACAAGTCTGTATTCTGCCCTGATCTCATGAGCTACCAGAAACCTCAGCTGGTGGCTCCTCCATGGAGTTGTCAACACAGGTGTGTATCTGGCACTCTTTACAGACACCTCTCACACCTCCCCTTTTGGCAACAGAGGGAGACCCTGGCACACGCTTACTTTAAGTGTGCCAGGTTGTAGCCCCTCTTCCACATCCTCCAGAACCTCTTGCTGAGTTTATAGCTGCACTTCTTCCTGCACCTTTCCTTTTATGTGATCCCTGTCCATGGCCCCACCAAGCCCTGGAACCTCATGGTCAACCTCCTCCTGGCTCTGGCCAGCCTGGCCAACAGCAAGACCAGGAAGGAGGCTCTGGCTGGGAAGTACCCAGATGAGTGTGGAGCTGTCTTCCTGTCAGTCCTCTGCTGAGGTCTCTGGGCAAAGTTTCACTTGTTGGTGTGCATAGTTTTCCTCCACTCATTTAAGGGACGGTGCATGTAGGCTGGCACATTCTGCTTGATGTCCCCTTATGGATCCCTTGTTTTGAACCTGTGACCCTCACTCCTGGTTCCCGTTTCCTTTTTAATTTACCCCAAGAAACTAGGTGTTGCATTCTTAGTGGTCTCCCTTTTTAAGGTGGGCTCATAGTTGCTCTTGGTGGGCTTGGACCCACATTGCCTGAGCACAACAAAGCAGCCTGACTCATTCCTGTGGTCTGCTCACTCTTTCCTGCTCCTAGAGTGTAAGATGAAGTGTGAAATGCCACCACAACTGTCCAGGCTGGGACAAGTAACCACTGGGCTGTTCATTAAACAGTAAGTGGCTAGTTAGTTCTGGGAGTCACTGATGCTGTGACTCCTGGAACCCAGCTCCACACAGCAGGGATGGGTTTCAGGAAAACCCTGCTGGGTTCCAGTGGTGGTGTTTTCTACCTGACATAGGGAGAAGCACCAGGAACGAGAGGCAGGCAGCCGGCAAAGGCAGCGCACTGCAGCTGGGGGGTACCAGAGGGCAGCACACGGGGCTCCTCAGCCTAGGCAGTGGGCGGGCTTGAAGCCCCTCTCCAACCCGAGCTGCGCAGGTGCGGCCCGGTCACAGACGCAGCCTGCCTCCACCGAGCGCCTCAAAGCACAAGTCAGCCCTGCTCAGCGAGGCTGGCTACACGGCTTTGTACAGCGCGGGGCGAATAGGGGGGAGTTCCGTCAGGCATCGGAGCCAGAGTCTCGCCCGCGGGCGGCAGAGCAAGGAAACAGCTGCTCTCCCCGAGCCGGGGCGGGGGGCGAAGGCGCAGCGGGAAAACGGTGTCACGGGGAGCCCAGGAGGGCGAGGGCGAGGCCAAGGCCAGGCCAGGCCGCGGGGGAGACGACACTCACGCATGAGGGTACTGAAGGCCACGACGCCCAGGAGCCCCTGCAGGAAGATGCCGAAGGAGTCCATCAGCGCCCCGTTCTCGCAACCGCGGTCCCCCCCGCTCGGCCCGTCTCCCGGCGACGACGCTGCAGCGCCGGGCCGCGCCGTCAGGCTTAGGCTGTCGTTGGAGGCCAGCACGGCGAGCGTCGCCCCCATGGCCGAGCAGCCCCGGCCCGGCCCGGCCTCACACGCCCATGACGGCGCCAAACCCTACTCCCCAACCCCCGTGCTTCCTGTGCAAGGGCACGCCCACACACGTCACAGCTGACGCTACCACAACGTGCCCCGCATTGGTGGAGCCACCCCGGGAGGAGGGGCCAAAGGAGCACGGGATGGAAGATCTGCGTGTGGGCTGGAGGTGCTCAGCGCCGCGGAGTGGGCGGGGCCCGCAGTTTTAAAGGGGCCGCGCAGCGCCTAGCGAGCCGTACGGCTGTGGTGACGAGTCTGTGGCTCCTTGCCGGAACCAGCGCGTCACAAGCCAGGAGCCGCCTCTAGCCTAGTCCGGGCTGAGCCGGAGCTGCGGGCTCGTCACGTGCAGCCAGAGCCAGCAGCTGAGCGTCGGGAGGCGCTGCTCCGGCCCAGGCTCAGGTGGAAAGAACGGGCGGGGCGGGGCTGTAGCGGGCCCTCGCTTTGCCGCGTCTGTGCAGCGCAGGGTGGTGGAAGCGCGGCAGCGCCACGAGGTCCCGCGCGGGAGGGAAGCAGCGCCCAGGCGACGCCGCGGCCGCTCAGGCTGGGGGGGGCCGCGGGGGGTTTCCCCTCGCTCTCCTCCCGTCCTCGGTCGCTTGCAGCATGTGGCACCGCCGGCCGCCTCGGCTGCTGGCGGGCTGCGAGAGCTCGGCCGCTCCGCGCCGACCACGGGCGCTTTGTCCTTGCTCGTCATCACGCGGGGACCACCGTGTAGAGTAGCCGTGAGAGTCCTGGCGCGAGCGGGCTGGCGCCTCCCGAGACTGGGCCGGCACCACCTGCAGTCGGCGGCGAGCAGGGGCCCGCGGCAGGGTCAGCGGTGGCCAGTCTCAGGAGGGGCACATCCCCCCTGCGCGTCGCCTGGGCAGGGCAGTGAGAACTTTTGCTTCTTCGTGCGGCATGGTCCGCCGGGAACGCTGGCTCTTTTGCCCCTAACAGCTGGGGAAATCTGGGGTGTGCTTTATATGTGAGGAAAAGGGGCTCCCCTTAGTCAGGACCCCTGGGTGGTGGGGGAGGGATGGAGCAGGGGCAACATTAATTGCTGTAGTGCCAGGAACCACAGTCCCCACAGCCTGCTGGATGGCTGCCTCCGCTGGGTCTCACCCTCAGGCTGGCTCTGGAGCCACCTGCTGGGTTGGATCTGGCACCTCAGTCCAGGAACGCGGGCTCCAGAGCCAGTGCTGGGGTTGGCAGAGCAGTATCTGGCCACAGCAGCTAGAAGCTGGGGCTGTGTGACAGTGTTGGGGCTGTATACAGCACTCCAGACTCCAGGGCTACTCGACAAGACCAGACTCTGGTCAACTCTATACAGGAGCTGTGGAGCCACTGCAGCTGGACTCTGTCCGGCCTGGTCATGTGGCCTCGGTGCCTCCACAGCTGGGTCAGGCTGAACTCTGCCCCACCACCTCAGCTCTGGCATGGAGTCCCTGGCTCCCAAGCTCTGGTCCTGATGGATGGTCCCCAACTTCCAGCCTGGGCAGTGGTCCCAGTCCCAGACCGCTGGTACTTGCCCATACCTGGACTTCATGGTAAGACTTTCTTCTGGGGGCTTTGAGAAGATAGGTTGCGTACTATATTCTAGGGAGTAGCGTATGAGGGGAAAAAAACTGTGGCATAACTATAGAAGCAGTGCCATACAAGCCATGTAGTCAACCTGTACAAGCAAAAAGACTACCTTTGTTAACCAAAATATGAGGCCATTGTCTGTTGATTCCCAGAGTCCTCATCTGAGAGTTCAAACAAGCAAGTCAATTAGTGGGGATGGGGTGTGTGGAGGGTTAATACATTTACTAGGAGTTCAATAAAAGGGGGGAGTGCTTGGAGATATTACCAGGACTTAAAAGCCTTCCTACTATTAGTGATCTCATGAATCATTTGGTCGTCTTCCACATTTATTTTTTTTCTTTTTTAAGTTCTCTTTACCTTTGGGCAATTTAAAGGATCTAGTTTTAGTGGACTGTAAATTACTTTTAGCTATTAGTGCATGTACATGTGGAAAAACACTGGACATTCAAATGTCTTTGAAATCATCTAACATGTTGTACTGTGACAATTATTTATTTAAGATGTTGCCAAAGGATCAATCCCCTTGTGCACACCTTCAAATAAGATGATTACATCTTCTAAAAACTTGATTTTTTTTAATGCTTGATTTCAATTTCAGTAGCAGCATTCTGTAAATCAGTCTGTAGTCTTTGTACTTGTCTTTGTTGAACCTCATGAGGTTTCCTTTGGCCTAATCCTCCAATTTGTCTAGATTAGTGGTTCTCAAACTTTTTCTTTTCGTGGACCAGTTGAGAATTGCTGAGGGTCCTACAAATGAAAGCATACAACTCATATTTTAATAGCAGTAGTTTTACCTTACAAGTACAGATAGTCTCAATTGTTCTGCAACCTTTCTGTGGACCGCCTGAATGGATCTCGTGGAGCAGTGGTGGTGCGCAGACCAGTTTGAGAACTTCAGGTCTAGATCACTGAATCCTAGCTCTATCCTCCAGTGTATCTACTAGCTTGCAGTAGTATAGCTCCCCCAGCTTGGTGTCATGTGCAAACTTGCTGAGGATGCATTCTTGCCATCTTCCAGGTCCCTGATGAAGACATTGAACAAAACTAACTACAGGACCGACCCCTGGGGTGCTCTGCTTGGTACCAGTTGCCAACTAGACATCAAACCATTGATTACTACTCTCTGAGCCTGATGCTCTAGCCAATTTTCTATCCACCTGATGGTCCATTCATCCAGCCCATACTTCCTTAACTTGCCTGTGAGATATACTATGTGGTGAAGCACTGACTGTATTGTGTTGTCTGGCTCCTGTGGTTAGACTGGCAGAGCAGGACTTCCCACAGGAGGGGGAGGGGGCAAGAAAGGTGGAGGAGAGCACCAGAAGGATCTCCCTTACCAGCAGTCTTTACTGCAGTCAGGAAGTCCTGTGTTGCCCGTGCTGGGCCATAGGAGCTAGGCAGCTCAGCGCTATACCAAGCAGTGTATTTAGGGGGAAGGGACCATCACTCTGCTTGTTCCATTTATCCCCATATATATTTTTTGGATCAGCACTAGGCTGTGCTTCCCCTGCCCATAAAAAGAGTCCTGGTGGGGGAATCCTGGAGGCCCCTACTAGTCAGTGCCCTGCCATAATTATGCTACTAAGTAAATAGTATATTTACTATTACTATTTACTTAGTAAGTACATATCGGCATTTTTAATAAGAAAATGTAGCTCGTGGCCAATCAGTTTAACTAAACAATGCTATTAAGCTATGGGTCTCAATCATTTTGAGAAGTTGTCTTCAAATTTAGATTCCTGTTTTCAGAGTGGGATCCAGTGAGGTTATTGGAGTAATACTGCATCACAAATTAATTGTTTTTGTGGTGCTGAACTTCTGCACCTGGAAGGGAAAGAATCCCACTTAGCCAAGAATTGTAATGGGAGGCACAGTGAAATATGTGCTGTAATCCGTTTAGGAGTACTGTTTTAGCAGGTTAGACCAATTCAGAGATGACAATTACCCATTCTCTTCTGCTTTGCAGTACATCTAAAAAAATTACCCAAAGAAGAAGCAGTTTTTTTAACTTGCCACGTTATTTCTATCTACCTCACAAAAGCTATAAATTAGCAAGTGAACTTCCTAACAGTCTTAGCAAAGGGTTAAAATAGATGAACGGACCAGGAAGACCACATTCTTCTTGTCCCTGGACATGCTTCTTCCATGTTAGTGTTGTTGCACTTTGTCAAAATTTTGGGAAGCGTGTACTACCACATGCTCCCATTTTGCAAGATAAAACACTTCAGTCTCCAAGGTTGTCAACACATCATTTTCAGTAGAAACTAGGTGTGCACTTATAGAGATTTTTTGGGCCGATTTAAAAAATAATAATAATAAAAAAAAAAAGCCACGTCTGCCAATACCAATCTGTTTCTGATATGGAGCCCCACAGCCTGGAGAGTGGCATCCAGATGGTAAGTCTGTTGTGAGGGAATGGGTGTGGGGGGGTGCAAATTGAGGCCTCCGCAGTGGGGGTGGGAGTGGGGCTGGGGCAGGTGCTGCCCAGCTGGGCAGAGTGGGGCATGG